CATCAATCAACTTTTTCAAAAAAACTGTTAGTGATGAGCACGTTTACATCATTTTACACCTACAATCATCTAGACTGTCATATACATGACACATGGTAACAGTTTCATCTCACAGTGCACCATCAAAGAACCTCGGTGCCCAACGCCGTTTGCATCGATGGCGGAGGTGGGGGCGGCTGAGGGATGTCAAACGCCATTGTGGGGATACCCAGACCCTCCAAAAATACATCCCCCAAAGATATCAAAAACTTGCTGGTGCTTAGTAAGTAGGGAATTTTCGGGAATGATCCACAGTAACTATCAATAACTATCATGTTTATCATCCCAGCAACCCCCAGCAACCCATTCATTCCCTACGTAAAACGCATCAGTAAGTTTTCCATATACCCTTTGGTAAACGTTTACAAAAAACTATGGAAAATCACCATGCTATTAATGGGTAAATCCACTATTTCGACTGGGCCATGGCTTCAATATGGTTAAAAAAATCTAAAACGCACCGGTGTAAATGGATGGCTCGGAGCATACAGCTCAGCTCAAGGAGGCGACCGCGACGGCGGAGGACGGGTTGACGAATTAAAAGCACTGGGTGAAGAACCGCTGTGGGGAGGTGCAGAGACATGGGACATCCATCATTTACCCTCTGGTAAACTAACATAGCTATTGAAAATTGCCATTTATAGTGAGTTTTCCCATTAAAATGGTGATTTTCCATAGTTATGTTAGTTTACCAGAGGGTAGTGCATTTATAGATCATTTTCTATATATGGAAAGTAGATAATATGTCTTTTCCAGATCTGTATAATATGATATAATGGAAAAGCATGTTTGATAGTATATGCAAGCAACCTTGTGATTCATGTGGTGTCATCGACTTAAATTGGGGGTGGGCCTCCCAAATGGAAATGTACTTGATGTGAGGGATGATGGGATATAGATTGGTATTAGATGGTACAATGATGGTAACTCATTAAATATGGGTTTGCCCAGAAATCGGGTTTAGAGCAAAGTTGACATATTTTCAATAGTGGGAAACTTGTTGTCTCAACCATGAGATCTTGGATTATCCTGTTTCAAACCTGAACTGAGCATATTTGAATGGATGTCAGCCATGCATTTTGCTGCTCTTTTGACACTTCACTGGGTCTACCACATACCCAACTGAAAGTCAAACTTTTTGTAGGTCAATAAAGCACTAGGACATGATGTTGTTACTATGGGATATGGACTCCACGATGGGGGGTAGACTTGCAAGATATCCGAATCCTCACACTTCCATGTGCCTATGGCAATCAAATGGAGTAGCAGTGGACTCATAAGATCTATCATGTGTGGTATATTGTTGATTTTGAGCCCTTGTGGTGTGATTTTCAGGCATACATATTTGAGCTACACAAACTTTAAAGAACAACTGGTTGACTGGTTGGTGGCTGGGGCTGTTACTGGGGCTAAAGGTGTGAACTGGGTTCAAATCCAATCCGGGACAGAGAAGTGGCCTTGTAACACCAGTACTGTAAATGGCCATGGTATGTGATGTCGGGATGAACATCCACGGTAGCTATGTGAATGGTATGAACATGTATAAACTACAGAGTACAAGGACGTTGGATGGTTTTTTCCCATATACTTGGGGGTTTCCTAAAATGGGGTTACCCCAAATCATCCAAGTCATGAATGACCATGACTTAGATATTGAAACCAATGGTGACTTTTGGGTCCCCATTTGAGGAAACCTCCATATCCGAATATATGTTCCATACAACTATTCCTTGAAGTGCTTGCCACCGCTTGACAAAGCAACCACCAGTTAAAAAGACGAGCTCATTCCATGGCGTCAAAATGGGTCAAAACCCTGGTAGCCTTCTGTTCACCCAAAATAGCTGGTATAGCTGGATCTTCATCCCCCCAAATATGTTAATAGATTTGGATTCATCCCCAAATGCGTTGAACAAAAATGCCCAACATCTTCCACAAGTCTTCCAATATCTTCCAGCATTCCCAATTTTATGATTGCCCTCCGGTCATGTGGCATTAATTTTCCCAGCTAGAAACCTCCATTGATAGGTCCAGATTCTAGGGGATGTTCACTGGTCGTCTTTGATCACTGGAGGGTACTTCGATGGGCCATGGAGTTAGTTAACTAGTTAGTAAATGGATTGTAATTGTGAGTTTTTTTGGGGGTAACAACTCCCAGTTACTAAATGTTACTAACCATAAATCGCGAAGCTTTCCCATGGCCCATGAAAAAAGTACCCTCCAGTGATTTCAAGCAGAGATTTTCAGACGCCAAACCTCGGTGTGGAACCATCCAAAAGATCGATAGTTTACAGTTAAAGCCCTAGAAACCAGTGATCTTTAAGTCTTTCTGGTTATACAAGTTATAAAGTTGTTAGATGTTGTTAGTCCATGATTTTCCATCGTTTTTTTTTCCCCACCTGCCAGGTGAGGGTTGTTAGATTTTATGTCAGTTGCCTCCTCCTGCCTCCTCCTGCCTCCTCCTGCCTCCTGCCTCGTCCTCCTCCTCCTCCTCTCCTCCTCGTCCTCCTCGTCCTCCTTGTCATCCTTGTCCTCCTTGTCGTCCTCGTCGTCCTCGTCGTCCTCGTCGTCCTCGTCCAACTGCGACCCGCGATCCACAGTGTTCTCTGCCGGACCTCAACCACGACCATCCACGCCCAGTGTTCCCTGCCGGACCTCAGCCACGACCAGCCACGCCCAGTGTTCCCTGCCGGACCTCAACCACGACCATCCACGCCCAGTGTTCCCTGCCGGACCTCAACCGCGAGTATCCACGCCAAGTGTTCCCTGCCGGACCTCATGTAGGAAGATATGCCAGATAGAATGCCAGAAGATATGCCAGATAGAATGTCAGATAGAATGCCAGAAGGTATGCCAGATAAAGTGCCAGAATGATTGCCAGAACATATGCCAGAAGATTTGCCAGATAGAATGCCAGATAGAATGTCAGAAGATATGCCAGAAGATATGCCAGATATGGAGTGCCAGAAGATATGCCAGAACATATGCCAGATTATGCCAGAAGATATGCCAGGTAGAATGCCAGAAGGTGTGCCAGATAGAATGCCAGAAGATATGCCAGATATAATGCCAGAAGGTATGCCAGATAGAATGTCAGATAGAATGCCAGAAGGTATGCCAGATAAAGTGCCAGAATGATTGCCAGAACATATGCCAGAAGATTTGCCAGATAGAATGCCAGATAGAATGTCAGAAGATATGCCAGAAGATATGCCAGATAAAGTGCCAGAAGATATGCCAGAACATATGCCAGATTATGCCAGGTAGAATGCCAGAAAATATGCCAGATTCAATGCCAGAAGATATGCCAGATAAACTGCCAGAAGATATGTCAGACAGAATGCCAGAAGATTTTCCAGTAACAAAACGTAAAGATGTCATGGTGGGGATAACTCGAAGTAAAGTAATTTTAATTCTATGAATGGTCCAAACTGACTCATTCCAGGAATGGTTTACGACAAATCAACCGGTTCTACCATCCCCCAGGAAACTGCCGCGCCTGCAGCAGAGGCCGTTTTGCCATGGATTTAGTCGTGAGTCCATCGACCCATCGGGCACTAATCATTCAACATAGAACTTTAGCCAACAATTAATGGATATGAACCATAAATGGCAGTGTGTCAAAACCAATAGTACCCCTGTAGTTCACATCAAAATAGCTGGGATTTATGGATGTTCATTCCCCTAAAAATGGTATTAATAGGTATTGATCCATACCCAAATGATCGCTGATTGCTTGTTCATAAAGAATTCTTATAGTATAGTTGTTGAGTTGAATTTCTGTATATAGCCGGATTAAAAGGAATGATGAACTAATTCTGAACTGATCCTAAGTAACCCTCTACCAGTCAATGGTTCAGTGCTTCTTGTGCTCCAGGAATTTGTCAGGTTTTAAAAACCTTCAAAGGAAAAAGAGCACGTTCTAAAGTTATAATCCATTCCCTCTACCCTCCCGTAATCAAACGTTGCCATGGAAAATGGCCTATTTTCAGATGACTTCCCCAGGCAAAAACCTCCACTAGTGGATTTTCCATTTCCCATGTTTGATGACACCGGAAGGGGAATTTGGGCAACTTACGGCAAGTTGTTTTTCTTTCCAATTCCAATATTGTCTGAATATTTTGGAATAATCATAGAATTCAAATGGTGGTTTCCTAAAATAGGTGTACCCCTAAATCATCCATTTGTAGATGGATTTTCCAGTATAAACCATCCAGCTATTGGGGTACCGTCATTTTAGGAAACCTCCAAATGTCACCAATTAGCTGATTTTAGGTATGACCGAAGCCACAGACTGGGGTGGAGGGCACCTTGACACCATTTGACACCGGGGACCTGAGCAATTCAGAACTGAAGCAAAGGGCACTCAAGCTGCTGACAGAATGTCAATGGCCATTTCAGGAACCTAAATTGGAGGTACTGTACCATATAAGGCCATATTTTCTGGGGATATTCCCTTACATAGGCCTAAAAACTAGGCCTTATATATGGTAGGTACCTCCATTTTAGGATCCTGAAATTCCCATTGAGAATGTGGGGCCACAGACCCGAGTGACCAATCATTTATGCCTGTACAAAGCTTGTACTTTGCCAAGCCAACACGACCAGAACTAATGTGGTAAACTGCATAAACCCAATAGTAGACCAGTCCTATAGTTTTACCAGACATGGGTGGTACAAACCTGTCAATTTCAGCATCTTTTGTCTACCACTTGGCTGGTGGCTTAGTTCACCCCACTGGAATGACATGGAATGACCCCACGTGGGCCCCTGAACGAAAACTGCGTTGTAGCCCACCTACTAACTGCGATGAGCCAGCAAAGCATTGTACCTATTATACATATAATATATATATATACATAAATAGCATATAAATAGCTAAATCTCATTAATTATAGAAATTATAGACCATAAAGTCATTCCCATGATAAATCCCATGACAGATCTCACTTTTTATCGATGCCATGCATGTCGTGGCTGCATGGCAGCAGCTGGTGGAAAGCTCCATCCGTTGGCGGACTCAAGGAGGGAACAACGACGACATTTACCAGTGAAAACCTTGGAAAACCAATACTTATATTCCACAAGTGAAACTTAGAATGACCCCAGGTTTCCAAAACGATAATCTTAGACATTTAGAATGACTCAGTTTCGACGGTCATGCTAAGTGTTTGAAATAGACTTGAAATAGGCTTGACTTGTGAAATCTTGGCCATAATATCTTACAAAATTGAAGGCTTTTAACAGCAACAATGATGGTTCTATCGCCACTTCTACCTGGAAATGCACTTCCAAGTCGGAACCAATGTGATTGCACCTTCAAAATGTTGCATTTGATGGGTAATGAAACCCATGGCTCATTGGGCAGAACCTCACTTAAAAAGTGGATATCGAATCAGAATCAGGAATACCCTCCGGTAATCAAACATGGCAATCCACCATTTATATGGTTCGATGATTTTACATCCGTTTAGTTTGGAGATTTTCCCGCTAGCCATGTTTGATTAAGGAGGGTATGTTGAAATATTGGGATTTGAAAAGGATTTGTTTTTTAGTTTGCATGCTTGGGGATGTGTGAATCAAAGCTTGATTTCATCGTGGTCTGAGAGGTGTGAGTCTTCGCATGCTGCGCAAGGGACCGGCACATCCTGTTGCTTAATCAACATCTACCCACTGGTAAACTAACAGTTTGCTATTGAAAATTGCCATTTATAGTGGATTTACCCATGAAAAATGGTGATTTTCCATAGTTACGTTAGTTTACCAGAGGGTACAAGTCTTAATTTTGTGGCTGAAATTCAACCTTCGCAGAACCAAAGCATCTGGTACAGATGGCCCCACGTTTGATTTGTTATTTTGAATCCTGAGACATACAATGATGGAAATTCACAAATTTGACCCATACCCAAATGGATTTGGAAAATTGACAGATACCTAGAATGAATAGAAACTAAACTTCATACCGTACTACAAATGTGGCCTTTGCTTGTACGCCCAAAAAAAAGGCTTTATAAACCCATTCAACTTCAGATGATATTCTGATATTCACTTATCCGCCATAAATCCGACAATTATACACATTGTTGTTCTTCAAAGAAACATATGTTTTTTGAGTTTTTTTTGTATCTGGACATTCACAAAATCATCCCATTCATAGTGCCACATCATAGGTCTTCACCCCTCCCAATCATTGCGGATGCTGAATTCTAGGGTTCATGGTGAATATGTCCAGTGACTTACCATCTGGGTATTTAACAGTTTGCCATGGAAAATCACCATTTTTAATAGGTAAACCATCTATAAATGGGCCATCAATACCATGGCTATGTTAAATAACCAGAGGGTAAGTGATGTTAAGTGGGTTTCTGGACCAACAAACATAACTGGCAGACTGGGTACCCACCTTGTTGCGCCCCAACACCTTGCTGCATCCTACGTCGCGAGAGGAGACCTGTTCCAGCTGACGTCCCTGCTGCGTGGCTCGCGCGCGGGCAGCACCTGGGTTGAGGCGCAGGGATGAGAAATGACGGCAGTTGGGGGTACTGATTGGTGGTTTGGAGCATTTTGTTTTTTTCCATTCAGTTGGGGATAATGGTCCCAACTGACGAATATTTTTCAGAGGGGTTGAAACCACCAACCAGACAACATAGTTGTGGAAAATCATCATTGTCAATAGGTGAATCATCTATAGAGAAGTGCCATGTTCCATGGCTACGTTGGATTACAAGGTTTTCTGGTCAAAACGTTGTCCTAAATCGTTGTCCCATTGTGGAACAAAGATTTTGGTACATTGACTTTTTGAGTTCATTGATTATCTATTCTGGTTAGCAGTTGGTGGTTCTCCCAAGGTACCTATTTTGAAATAACCAGTGACATAGCCAAACAAATGCCATTGAGTAGTACCCTCTGGTGGTCAAACATGGCTTTTTCGACATTCCGCCGTATTTAGTTCGTTGATTCTCCCATTCTGAAACCTGACTTTTTAGCCTCGGCATGTCCCAGCTACGTTTGATGACACCGGAGTGTAAACCAGTTCCCAATTTTGACCGGCGCATGGAAGAGAAATGCTGGACGTGTGGGCTAGACAGCAGTTAGGTGGAATAAATATGCTTTGTATGTGGAATTATATCTGAAAGTATATCTCCAAGTATATGTGATTTAGGTATACCAGTCAAATGCTCCACGAACAAAAACTTAGAGACGGTGGAATAGCAATCAAATAGGAGGCGGTCGCACATCAGTCGAATAAGCTGCTCGAGTTACGAATGAAGTGCCAGGAAGAAATACCAGGTCAATGCTTGAAAAAAAAAGTTGAATAGTGCCGGCATTTTTACCAGGTCAATGTGGTTATGACCCAACTGTATGGGTGATGCAAGTAATCAATGGTTCACCAAAAAACGTGTTGTTGTACGAACAACATCGGGTGGCTTAACCAAGTTTCACAAAAAGATCTGGGCAAGTTTGTGTACTATCTGGCCATTGGGAGGGAGCTAAGGAGCTATGGCTATGGGCAGTATTCAATGGGGGGGTCATATTCCAATATACCATACTGTAAATATTATATTATATATATTATATTATATTATATTATATTATATTGCAGTATATTCCAATCTATTGTAATCCCATATCATATCTTCCCTACTACATGGGGATCCAACGAGCTACTAAGAGTTTCCCAAGCCATGATAGCATCAGAAAGGCCACCCACAGGGGTGAGGATTGCCATCCAATGATCACCCCAGTTGTTCGGTGGATTGCCACGTGGAACTGCTGGTTTGAAACATATAGTTTTTTGTCTAAAACGATTTTAAGATGATCATGTCACCATGTACCTCATTTACTGCATCGCTTGGATATTCCTTGGTTCCTTGAGATTGGCTAGGTGGCTAGAAACTGGCGTGCAGTCTTTTAACGCCTGAAAATCATGACCCAGACCCCACTATTGGGCCAGCCTTAGACATATTCAAGCGACATTTAGTAAGAATTTAGGATTTTTCGTCGTGAGTTCTGTCATTGTCCAATCAGTTTTGAGGCGTGACACCCATGTGAAGATGAATCAAATCTGGGACTTCATAGGATCTAGGTCAATCTCGGATGGCTAGAAACTAATCCTTTAGTCTTTTGGTATGGGATTATCTACTACTAACCAGCTAAGAATTTGTCATTTTTTGCAGGGTATCTAAGATTGGCAATGATTCTATACTCAATATTACATGTGATTATTGTTATGCATGGATCTTAACTTAGTGGTTTATGATTATTAATGCTTCTTCATAGGATGGGATAAGGGTAGAACGGTAGGTTACCTTCATGGCTCACCAGGTGCATGGCTTGCTGATGCAGATGGAACAGAGGCACGGACGATGATCTCTTGCTGGATCTGTCTGACAATGTGGTATATCCAATGCAAAAATATCACCTTGAAAATATCCTGAAATATAATCTGTCTAAAGTATATCATTCTGAAAATATATTTGTCTAAAGTATATCATCTTGAAATGGTGATTAATATAGAAAATATCCTGGTGAGATAATGGGATGATGGAAATTTTCATGGGGATATAATGGGGGTACACACTACAATAGACACTTAATTGATCGCTGCAAACCATACATTTGCCCACCTCCTATCCCGCATATTTGACATGCCCAAATCCCTTCGTAGGGCTAGCGCTTTTAACTTTTGAATAACAACACACCCTAAGACCCTAATTCCTGAAAGCCTAAAGTCAAAATCGCTGCGCATAGCCACTCATTCGCGCTTGGGTGACAAACAAATATATATATATATATAATAATCATAATGATAATAATAATAATGATAATAATTAATAATAGTAATAATGATGATAAGAATAATAATGATGATAATAATAATAATAACAATAATCATGTCTGGGTGTGTTATGTGAAGGTGGGCGAACATATGATTTGGCGCCAACATGATTCAACATCAATTTTGGAAGCACACTATGGTACACTATGTTCAAACAAACCCATTTTGTGATTGTTTGAATTACTGTAGGTTTGTTGCTGCTTAAACGGTGCAAATATGACCCAAAATTCAGAAGACATGTTTATATATAGTTTAGATGTTGTAAGCATTCACATGCATTCACCCTGCACTTTTCCTGCGGTCGCCCACATGTTTTGCAATATGTTGTAGCTTGCTAGGAAATTCCATCAACAAATCCACATCCAGATCATCCAAAATCCCTGTCCGACAAACATGCTGATGTTTCTTAGGACCCCAAGACCGGTGGTTTTCCGATTGAACCTCACCGTTTTTGGATGATAACTTGGTGTCCTCCGGTCACAACGCAGTGTTCAAAACCCCCGGGTGGTAGATCATAATGTGGGGGGTTCCTGAAATAGGGGTAGAGTACCCCAAATCATCCAAAATTAGAGCAGTTTAGTAACTTTTAGTAACTGTTTTTTTATCGTCTTAGTAAATTGAAAGCCATGGTGACTTGGAAGTAGAACTCCCATTTTGTCGGAACCTCATAATCCCCTGGGAATTGCAGAAGAGCATGGAATCGAGGTGGCTGGAAGTAGATGTGGTGCCCTACAACATTGCCTTAAATGCCAAGGAATCCAAGGCTGGGGATTTGGAAAACTTCAGGATGGATAATCCCAATCAATCGTAATAATCCTTAAGATAAATACTTATAGGATATATTGGGATATCTCAGAATATCTTGGGATATCTTAGGATTAGGATTAATCCCCGTTTAGTATGAGATGTTCTGGGATTTTCTTGTTTAATAGTAATGTCCCTAATATCAAACACCTTCTGAACGGTCCACATATAATATCTCAATATGTGTGTAAATTCCTGGCCTTCTCAAGCATGGTTTCTTCGGGGCGTGTTTTATATGAATAGAGGAAGGGATTACAACGTTTATTTTTTTTGCGAACCTAAAAACAGTTTGGAATGTTGTAAATGTAGCTGACAAGTTTGGAATGTTGTAAAAAGTTTGGAAGGGTTTATTACAAATACAAATCGGAATGTTGTAAATCCAATTTCATATCAAACATTTTTGTCAGTGTGAGAGTTGAGAAAAAAGGTCAAGTCGCTGAGGTTAACTTAAATACTGACCTTACCGTCAACCCTTACCCATCACACTGCATCCATTTATGTCTGGTTGGTGGTTTGTTTTTTTTTCATAATATATAGGAATAATCACTCCAACCGACTTTCATATTTTTAAGAGGGGTTGAAACCACCAACCAGAAGTATTTTGCTTTAAAGTTTCTTTTGCGAGGAAGGCCCAAGAGTTGCAGAAGGAAACAAGATGTTTTGGGAATTGGCTTTGTTTTATGGTAAATCCTTCAACCCCGGATAGCCCCAGTTTTTTGGGGGTCGTGCTTGTGCTGGTTGGGAACCCTGATACATACTTTTTGCTGAAATCCTCCGTGGTTGGCCTTCGTCGTCGGTGCCGTTCTAAGCCTCCACCAAGTCACCAACATACTTGGTCACTCAGTTGAAACCTTCCATTTTTCACTGGGAGATCTTCAGGATCCAATACATGGAGGTACGTTAGTACCATATGTTTGGCCATATTTTGCTGGGGATATTCCCTTACGCTAGGTGCCTCCAATCAACTTGGGTTCCTGAGTCATGGCCATTGATCAAATACGTAAATCAGTTGAAATCCTATTTCATTTTTACTTTCCATATATTTTAAATAAATAATAAATCAGTTGAAACCTTCCATTTCCGTGGTATTGTTCTTTCTTGGTTTTCTTATCCTGTTGATCCTTCCTGGAAGAACATCTCCACCCGGATTTCCAATTCCCACGTTTTAGGGGGAAGAATTGTTGGTATTTTACCTTTATATCGTCAAGCTGGAGTACATAGTCTTAATGAATTGCTAGCCCAATGTGGCTCAAAACCTGGGAGTAGGGAAATCTGAAGTCAGAATATATGGATTTTTAAAGTGTCAAACAGTTTCAAGTTATTTGACTATGTATTCAAATCATTGTGATTTTTACATAGTTTGTTTCGGACATATTTTAAAACTGACATGGATTGTTTCCATATATTCTGATTGGTCTGATGTCAGTATTGGTCTACCAGATGAAATTCCATGGATTCTTAAACATGGATTTAGAAGTGATGTCAGTTTATTTCCCGAAACAAACACTGTATTTTCACTGGTGAGTTGATCGAGTCTCACCTGAAGGATGGGTGGCGTCAGCAGCTGGATCTCTTCCAAACGATGCAGTGCAACGGCTTAGAGGTGCGGCAAAACTGGTAGTTTTCATAGGATTTTCATAGGATTTCCAAGGAAATCTTAAATTCAATTGAAGAGTTCCAATTTTCTGTGAATTGGAGTGTAGAAGAATCCAGGAAACTGAGGAAGTTAATTTTTTAAGTGAATTGTAGAAGCGAATTGCAACTACATAACATATTCTAATACAGCCCAGCCCACATGAAATTGTCGAAAGTGGGGAAAAAAACAACAACCCACCTGCTTGGCGAAGTTGAATTGCAACTACTTTGGCATTGACGGACGCTTTAGTTTTGGCGGTACCAGCGGTAGATATATCGAACCACATAACTGGGGGGCACCATAAACATGTTTCGGTGAGATCATTTCAGAACCGAACCTGCGATGTTTGATGAGATATGTTAAATCCTGATTGGCACAGGTATGAGAGAAGTACTTCACTACATATGATGCGTCTTATCCTATTATATTAGAATCATGTGTCCTTATGTGTCCTTATTTATGAATTACACATATTATCTATCCGTTCTATGCTAATTATGTCCTTGTCTATCCTATGTTAGATTATTCATCTATTCGGATTCTATCCCTTTTTTTCCTATCCTATCCTATTATTCATAAACATCTCGAAAAAAAAACATAATCCTCGATGTATTCTCAATGGAATTTTATGCTTCTCCTGCGTTGGCTAGATTCATCCCTAGATCTCATGATCTCGGTGTTAGTCTATGCAAAATTCATGCAGGCCCGCAAAAGATAGCTAAGTAGACCAGAAATCTTGGTTAACTATGCTTAATCGTTTATGGTGCATGTAATTTTAGTCAACGAGTTTACATCGTTGTCATTTGAGTGAACTAAGTCACTCTATGCGTCATAGGGTATAGAAGTGTCACCTACAATGCGGAAAACAACCACGGTCCATCACATCTTCTTGGCTCCTTGCCTGGCGCTTCTTGGGAAGCCGGAGAAAGGCCTGTGTCATGGTCATTTCCTGCCACAGAATAATGTGACTACACTTTTTCCCAATGGGTTTACTATAGTCACCCTCAGAATTGTAAACCGCAATGTGGCTACAGATAAACCAATGGTAAATAGTTGTTTTTTCCAATGGTAAATATGTATTTACAATTATTTACCAATAGTGAGAACTATTAACCATTGGTTTACCATTGGTTTATCTGTAGTCAACTATTAACCATCTTATTTAACCAGATTGTAAACCAATGTGACTACAGATCGCCAAAGATGTCATGGGATGCATATCTCAGTTGGATTCTCCCAGATCGGTCACCCAGTTGGAACCAACTGGGGGGTTTCTTGGAAGTTCTTGCTATAAGCGGATCTGAAACTATAGTTATTTCACTTAAATGCACTATGGTTATACAGTTATACATGGATATAGCATGTTAGACGCAAGAAATCAAGGAACCTCAAGTGCATCCCCAAGTATTTCTCACTCTATACCAACATATTAGCAACATCAACTGCATCCCATGAAATCCACAAGGTTTTGTGGAAGAAAATCACCATGAAATCTGGCGACATCCCATCCTCCAGGCGTCGCAGGTCTCCTATTGCGCCCTGGCTTCCGCCCTATTGCGCTGGCCAGCAGCGTGTCATGTGACGCTCACCTTGCAGGCACATTTCTAGGTCAATCTTAGATGGGTAGAAAACCATCCTCTGGTAATTGAACATAGCTATTGAAAATCGCAAGCATTCTTTTACAGGTAAATGATCTATAAATGGTCCATGTTCAATAGCTATGTTGAAGTAACGGAAGGTAGATGGTATCAAGATATCAAGATCTCAATGGGTTAAAATGGGATTATCCTATCAGGGATAATTATCAATGGTATTATTAAAAGATATCACCAATCTTAGATGAACGTAGATAATCCTTTAGTCTTTTTGTATGAATGGGATTTCTACGTTCACCAGCTAAGAATCTTTCTTTTTTTGCCGCGTAGCCAAGACTGGCCAGGAGTTCTTCGTTTTTTGTGCGGGGGACCACAAGTGAATCATATGGTGGTTTCCATCAATGAGGGTACCCAAAGTAGATGGTTTAATAATGGACAATCCGAAAATAGCATGGATGATGAAATGGGTATACCCCCCATTTCAGGAAACCTCCATATGGATTTAGAGTGGGATATTGTGGGATGTCATGGATCTATCATCATGTGTATATATATACATACATTACTTTACATTACATTACATTACATTACATTGCATTGCATTGCATTGCATTGCATTACATTACATTACATTACTTTACATTACATTACATTACATTGCATTGCACTACATTACATTACATTACATCAATACATACATACATACATACATAATCATACATATATATATATACATGTACATACACATGAAAAAGAGGAGCGCTTGATGGATGCGAACCTGATTGAGGATGCAGGCCTAGCGGCAGCTGCTGCCATGGCAACACTGAACGACCAGGTGGCAGAGGACCCGGCCTGATCACAGGTCCTGACTGGACTGAGGGACCGGAACCTGGAGCTGTGCTTAGATGGGCCATGGAGTCAGTTAACTAGTTAGTAAATGGATTATAATTGGGATTTTTGGGGGGGTAACAAATCCCCAGTTACAAACCATAAATGGCTAATCCCATGGCCCATCTAAGTGCTGGCCTCCTTCTGCAATCTGGAAAGCAGACCCGGAACAGGAAGAATTGTGGAGGATGCTATGCTTGCACCGTACTTGTCAAGCTCGGACTCTGGAGCCGACCAAAGAAAGGTGTGAGCTAGTGGTCTAGGAGTCACTGCAGTTTTTCCGCATACCTGTGCCTGTTGTTGCTGTTGTTGCTGTTGTTGCTATTGCTGCTGTTGCTGCTGTTGTTGCTGTTGTTGCTGTTGTTGCTGTTGTTGCTGTTGTTGCTGTTGTTGCTGTTGTTGCTGTTGTTGTTGTTGTTGTTGTTGTTGTTGTGGTCGTCGTCGTCGTCGTCGTCGTCGCCGTCGCCAGCGTCGTCGTCGTCGTCGTCGTCGTCGTCATTAGACGATGATGATGATGATGATGGATCTGTCTGAAATAAACAATAGTGCAGGAAGGCGCCCCCAAAGGATTGGTTGCTGTTGCTTTGCAAGTAGGCTAGCGATTGGATTTTTGCTGGACATACCTACAGCTAGATGAGTTTATAGACCAACTTATAGTTTGGGTATGTTTGGTGACCATCACCTGGAAAGAAAGGATTCTAATTGCTGTGGGATTGTTAGTAGACCGATAGCGAACAAAGCAACATGATCGTTCTATCCCCTAGTGAACCCTGGACCACATAGGATGCAGCAACTTCGTGGTCCATAAAGCGCCAGATGCAGCCCTTATTGAATAGTCACATTCACGAACAAATGAGTAATGAAGGGATTTGAACCAGAGATGATGACTGATGGTTGTATCATGGGGATTCATGGGGCATGAGCTGCTAGCAGATTGATATTAGCAAAATAGACGAATCTAATTCACAACAAAAAGTTTGGTTGATGATTTATACTGTTGGTGTTGGATTTGCAAACTGGTTTGATGTGCTTTTTTACCATTCCTGATGATAACCCTTCTCAGGTTGGGAAGTTGGATTCCCAGACTTGGAATCTGAAGTGATGTAGCTCTATCTACAGAGGCCCCCCAGTTCGAACTTGGTTTCCAAACCCATTAACTACGGTGGATGGAAGAAATCCTGCACCAGTTGATACCGGGTTCTTCAAAAAAACAGCCATCCTGTCACACTCATTACGCCCAATTCAATGTTGTTACAGCGCTTTACTTGGAAAGGCCTCCCAAAAAAACAGCCATTTCGGTTCGGATGCCGGCATGCATTGGGCAACAGCATTGATCAAGGGGGCATGGGGGGATCAGGTGTGATGTGACAACATGTAGGAGGATGGCTGTTTCTTTTGAAGAATCCGGTAGGTGGTTTATTCCATTATTTATAGGGTTTCAACCATCCAAGGTGATACAGGATTTCTTCCATCCGCAGTATGGTTATCTCCCATACACCAAACCAAGTCATGTGCGTCAACTTTGTGATTCCGCAACCGGGAACGCCGGGAACCTCACCCTTGCACATGATCTTTGGCCACGCGAGGCTGAGATGCTGCAACCAAATATCATCAGTTGCAGCACAGCAATCAGTGCCTGTGAGAAGGGGTCGTACCTGAGTCAAGCACTAGGTCAACCTTGGATGGGTAGTTGAATCCTTCAATCTTTTGCCGGAATATCTACTAACCAGATCTCACCCGTTTTTTTTTGCAGGGTATCCAAGATTGACAATGAACAGGGATGTGGGTTACCATAGAGAATCAAACTTAATTTCAAAAAATTGATCATCATGTTCGCGATTACTCTGCCATTCTGGTCGGCTATACCTAATTCTCAGACACATACACACACGTATATATATATATTATATTATATATATATATATGTATGGTTGTTGTGATTTTTCTTCCGGCATCAAACCATCCCTATTGATTGTTGACTTTTGGGTTTGAAAGCATCCGTGCGAATCCGTTGATCACGATGAGTGCCTTCCTGTGTCGCGTCATACAATACTTCTCACTACCCGATAGAGGGTCATAGATATAAGAACCATATGTAATGGGTGCATGCGTAACATGATATGTCGTTAGTCTGATAAACATGTTTATCCTTCCACTTCAAGCCTGCCTGAAATTCACGTTTTGAACGAAAATTGAGGTGCAAACCATGGTTGATGTTGGTTGTTGTTTTCCTTGCCCGGAACATTCAATAGTTTGACCAAAAAATAATTGTGATCATTCAGCTTGAAATTTGGTTTGATGAATGCAGCAGAGACAGGGCATTTGACCATAAGTACTTAGTGGTGCTGAGGGAATGGGAATGGGATTGTTGGTGATGGTTATGGATAGTTATGAATCAGATCACTACACCATTCCTAAGCAGCAACAAGCAGCAAGAGTATCATTTGGTTCATATCCTTGAACCTCGCTCACGGATATTCATTCTATGGCAAGTTAATTCATCTATCTAAGTTCTACCCCCTCCAGTGATTTATATAATCCACATGATCATTATAAGATCTCCTTATAACCTTCCAGCGCTCCTGTATCATTTTTGAAGTTCCGTTCAATGACAGTTCCTTCCCACCGTGATCCGCACCGCTGTGTTCCGCTCAGGCAATGGTCTTCCGCGTTTCGCGTCTTCGATGACATGAAGAGCCAGGGGTTGGAAGCAGATCTGAAGCTTGTCCCCAAGATGTCACCCACAGTTATGGCCCCAGTTCATCAGTGATGTTGATGTTATAACATTGTTTGAAACCTTCAACATCATGAACCTAATTAACATCCATTAACATACATTAAATCCAGATTTTAATGATTTTTAATTTACCCTCTGGTTGTTCAACATAGCCATGGAAGCCATGGCCCAAAAAAAAAAAGATGATTTTCCCAGCTAGAAACCTCCATTTATGGTTGGGATTTCCCCATGGCTATGTTAAATAACCAGATGGTATAACTCCTGCAACTAAGGTTATGAATCATTTACATGAGATTATACGCCAGTTATAACTGTCAAACTCTATAACTGCATGGGGATATGTGGGATAGATTCGCAACATATGGGTTATATAATGAGATTATAAAAGGATTTTAAAGGGGAGATTGAAATGAAATCTATCATGGATATGTGGCCCACTCTGTCTGATAAAAGTATATGTTTTCTGCAGGGGACTTCCATACGCCCAAAAATGTTTATGTTGGCATCCGCCCTGATTTTTCTTTTGAGAATCTATAGCTCTCCTCTGCCGGAATTGGGCAAGGAAAAATATGCTAATGGATGACTGATGACTGTGTACCTTGGGGTTCCTGAGCCCTTTCGACTGTCTTGGAAAGACCTAAGTGGGATCAATTTTCCCCCACATTGATCGCTGTGTCTCCTGCTGTTCCTCTTGCTGTTTCTAAATGGACATATTAATCCTGGGATTCACGCTGTTCCTAAACCTATAGACATCATGAACTTCTTCCTGTTTCGATTTGAATTCCTCAGAACTCAAGTGCCTCGAATTTGGCAGTGACTTCTGCTGGTTTCTATATGTTCATTTTCCCTTTGATTTGGGGTTGAAAGGATTCCCGTCACCAGGGATGATATCACAAGACAGGTTACTTAACGGTAGCATTTGCATAGTAAGAAACATTTCCCAAAAAACAACCACATTTCAACTGCATTTAGACCACAATCAAATGCAAAACTTTCCATCAGCACGCCCACGAGGCCAAACGCAAGGTCAGAATTCTCAAGGAAAAAGAGTTCCTGGAGTCATCATGAGAAAAGGCTTACTCAGGGAGCAGAGTTCTGGCACCTGTTTGTGGAGTGAGGCGTACAGTCCAGTTTTGTTGCACACGGCTGCCACGCCTCAACGCACCCAATTTTGGGTGTATCCAGAGGCAGATCCTGTGACAGGATTAGATATCTTGAACGGGGGTGGAGGTGCAGCGCACCCACAATTGCAAAACGAATTATTCCAAAAGGGACATATTTCATCATATTTCATGCTTCCGATTTTTTCAAGAATGACTCTGGGGGGAAGGCAATTCTGCTTCGAGGCACAAATTTCTGTCGCAAGGTTTCCATATGTTTTTTTGTTGATGGTATTTCCTCCAAAATATATACCAGGGACGGGACTCGCCCTTCGATGTTTAGCCCGAGGATTACAGTGGGCGCCTTGATCACTTCCTGTGAGAAGGGTGCCTTGGCGATGCCGGGGCGTTTTTTTATTGGGATGATATGTATAGATGGCTCTATTCTGTTATTTAAATCGATCTAGCCCACGTATCCAATGTTTTTTTTGGTACATCTATCCATATATTTGTCTATTTACCTATATATGCATGTAATTATTTGTCTATTTACCTCTATCTATCGATCGATCCATCTATCGATCTATCGTTCTATCGATCTATCGCAATCTATCTCGGTCTACCTCTGTCTATCTCGATCTATCAATAGTATCATTATCTATCATTATCTATCATTATCTATCATTATCTATCATTAACTATCGTTATCTATCATTATCTATCTCTATCTATCTCCATCGATATCTATCGATCTCTATCTATCTCTATCTCTATCTCTATCTCTATCTATCTCTATCTATCTCTATCTCTATCTATCTCTGTCTATCTCTATCTATCTCTATCTATATCTATCTATATCTATCTATCTCTATCTATCTCTATCCATCTCTATCTATCTATCTACCCATCTATCTACCTATCTATCTATCTATCTACCTATCTATCTATCTACCTATCTATCTATCTATCTATTTATCTACCTACCTACCTACCTACCTACCTACCTACCTACCTACCTATCCATCCGTCTATATCAGGGCTTCAAAATGCTTTCATCCATGTCCAGTTTTGGTGACCAAAACCAAACACATGGCTCACTAACTACCATTCTGGGTGAATCGCTGTGATTTATATAGAAATTCTACCAAAAACAACTCGCGTCTCTGCAGTGCTTGCGACTGGGTGCTTCGTTTTTTTTTTCACCTGGGCAAACAACGGAAGCAACCATGGGTTGCCCAATGCTGTACGTTGGGTCCTGCAATGTCCAACATGATAAAAACCTTAAATTATTTGATGTCACACTACTTTCGAATTTTGATGGATCTAAAACCACTACATACCACTACAGGTGTGGTTCATTAGTTGGTCAGTTTTTCCAAGTATTCTGCAAGTTTGGGCAGATCCGCACGTGATTCTGTTCAAAGTCTGGGATGCGACAGGATAGTTTCTTCGTGATTTTTCTATAGAACATAAATGAAAAAAAACATATAGGATAAAAACCAGACTGTGAAAACAGAAAACACAATACCCATCATTAGAGCAACTGAAATTTGAATCAGATTCAAAAACATGGGGATAGGCTACGAATTGATGACAAAAATATATGGCAGTGGGTCAAAACCTTGTACCCCTGGTGAACATAAAAATAGCTGGTAAATGGATGTTCATCCCCCTAAAAATGGTATTAATAGGTATTGATCCATACCCATATGGCACATGCGAATCTCTCCATGGCCACATGGTCATTTCCATAGTTTGTCGACGTGAGGTACCCCCGATACCCCCGATTCAAAAAAAAACAGCTTCTGGATTATCATGATGATCCATGATGATCATTGATGATCCGAATATCCCATTTATTCCTAATTACAAATCCCATTTTATGGAAATCATTGAACAGTCCTATTTGATTTTCATTTTTGGGGTCGATGAAATTCAGGTTGGAAAAAACTTGATACCTGCATTTTTCAGGTGAAATATATGGTGACATTTTTTCCGTTTTTTTCATGTTTCCACTAGTTTTCGCAATGGAAATCCACCCATTTTTCTCATTTTTCCCAGCGAAACTCCACCAGTTCCAGCGTTTTTCTTCGGCGCTTCGGTGACACCGAGCCGAGGCCTCCAGTGGTCCCAGGCGCTGCAGCTGTCAGCGACGAACGCGAGGAACGTGGTGCAGCTCAGCGCTGCGGTGAGCGCATGCGAAAAGGTGGATGGGGAATTGTATGAAATTTATCATAGTGGCATAATGATTAATGATATGTTAATGCATATTAATTCATTAATTATTAGTATGCCACCTTTTCATAATAATTAAAGATCATATAATTCATAGTGACATATTAATGATTAATTATAATATTATCATAGTGGATAATGATATTATCAAAATATTGTTAAAACCACTAACCAGTTATGAAACTTTCGAGGATTTAATGTGATTAAATTATCATAGTGGCATTTTATGATTTGAAAATGGTAGACTTAAGCATCAACAATAGTAGCATAGTAGGGATAATAGGGGAATAGTTCATGGAATATTCATGAGAGATAATGGTAATATTATATAATCTGGTTGGTGGTTTCAAACATGTTTTATGTTCCATAATATAATGGGATAATCCTTCCCATTGATTTTCATATATTTCAAGATTGTTAAAACCACCAACCAGTTATGAAACTTTCGAGGATTTAATGTGATTAAATTATCATAGTGGCATATGATGGCCGGAAACACCAATGAAAAATATGGTTATAATTTATTTCTATTGGATTATACATTAATGACATGATATCATAAATGGGATGATTCTGGAACAAATTGATGATTACTATGGGACTACTAGTTACTATGGGATTACTACAGTATGGGATCACTATATATTACTATGTTAATTACCATCAAAATATTACTACGCAATGGGATTACAATATATATATATATATATTACTAGCCCTAGTGCTCCAAATATCCTCTGAGAAGGTTTTTAGACCCAACAAAAGAACTCCAAATACAGTCTGAGACGGTGCTTGGAGCCGTAGGATAGATTATCAATATAACATAATATAAAATATGGGATTACTATAAATATAATATATATATTATATATATATTATTACTATATATTAGCATGATTTACTGTGTTCATGCTTAATAGTATAACTATGAAATTACTTTGTGGGTGATTATCAATCGATGACAATTATTAGATGATTACTATGGGATTACTACGGATTATTCATAGATTTGGTGATGGGATGAGTATATATTACGAGGTTTCCAAAAATGGTGGTACCCCAAAATGTTGATTATTATCATAATAACAATGTTACAATGATTATAAATGATTATCAATGACAATTGATATGGTGACTACTAATGATTATTGATGACAATGATTATTAACGATAACCCATTTAGTGATATGTTATGTGATTATTGTTATGAATGGTATGGTTGTTATTTTTTGTTTGTAATGACAATGATTATTAACAAAAAACATCCTGTGAAGTGATGGGAGAAACTAGGACTCATCGCTGGGAACGTTCAAGGCTTACCTAATGTGGGATCCATTGTTAAAGTAGTTCTTATATAAATTTTGGTTGAATACTTATAAGACATCTTAAAGACTAAGTCTATGAGTATATTTGCATCGAACATTGATTATTGAGCTAAGTTTCACTTTTACAATATGTTGGGGCACAATGATAGAAGTAAACGCTTGGAAACTCAGATTTACATGCTGTTGCTTGCGTTTAGACTCCACATTGAATCCATTGTGACAGGCCAACGAGTGGCAATTCGCTTTGGCCATTTTTTTCGAAGAGACCGTCCGGAGATATTTGCAGCCTGATATCATGAGCCTCGCGCTGGATGTTGGTGGAATCGCCACGGGCTTCTGTTGCTGTTACCCTCTGGTAATTTTAACAGTTTGCTATTGAACATGGCCCAGTCGAAATAGTGGATTTACCCATGAATAACATGGTGATTTTCCATATACCAGAGGGTAAACCTCCATTTTCCTATGGTTATACCACTATAATCCCAGTTTTTTGTCAACGTTTACCAGGCCAGGTACCGATCCCCAACAACAGTTGCGGACTTAGGATGTGCAACGCTGCGATCAGCGCTTGCCGTGGCCATCAGTCACTGGGCCGATCGGATCGGATCATCTTTCAAGGATCAGCGGCTGAAAATGGCAGATTATCCAACAGAAAATGTGATGTTTTTATCTGTGTAACCAAGATATGAGTCAAAACTTTTTGTCCAAATATTTTGCTGATGAACATCCATTTACCATCTATATTGGCTTCGTTAGGTTACCAGGGTTTTGACACATACCCAGTGAGAATTGAAAACATAGTTGATGTCTATGTCATTCTATGTCAATCTTGGGTACTTGAATCCTAGCTAGTCTTTTGGAATCAATGGAATTATCTACGAGAAAACCAGCTAAGAATCTGCATTTTTTTGCAGGCTACCTGGCTGAAAAAGGCCATGATTGGCTGATGGTTGATGTAGGCTCAATAAATTCCTGGGATATTCATGGATGGTCCATGATTATCCCATCAATGACTGGTAAAAAGAAGATACCCTTTGGTAAACATACAAAAAACATCAAAAAACTATGGAAAATCACCATGTTTCATGGGAAAATCCACTGTTTCGACTGGGTCATTTTCAGTAGCTATGTAAACGTTTACCAGAGGGTAAGTGTGGTGATTCAGCAGTGGTTTCCAAGTCTCTTTAGATCGCAGCACCCTCGGAGAAGATTCGTTGTTTTTAGCATCGAATCGAATCCGATCAAGTCGTAAGTCTGGCATTGAAACACACCTGGCGCACCATGGCACCAGGTGTGGTGCTAGCAAGGCATAGCTAGTATAGCTCGGCTGCAGCACTGTATCCAATCCCAACCTTGTCCATTTCAGTTATATCACACATTATCAACACATATTATTGAAAAGCACCATTAAGTTCAGGATTCTTTTAACACCCCGCTTTTAAGATGTGGGAAAGGCACCCATTCACCTCCCATAAACAACTCCCATTTGGGGATGGTTGGGATGGTTGGGATCCTCTTGGAAAGAAGAAAACTTGTGGCCTGATAGATCTCTCTCGTTATCACATGATTTAGTTGTTTTTTTTTGACACGAATATATATATATATACACTAGTAATAAACTATTCATTGATATAGTGTATGCGTTTATATGATGTGACAACACTTACATACATTACATATGTACCTACATATATGTATAATGTATGTATATATATATATATTATATGTATATATATAATATTATATAACAATAAATAATGACAATTTAATCTAAAATTATATTACATTATGAATACAATACACATGTTTATATCACTTGCCCATGGCCCCATGGCGGCATCACAGCCCCAGGTGGCAGCGTGCCATTTGGTTATTGACCTCCATCGTCCAGTCGTTGCGCTTGAAGCGAACGCTGGTCACTTGCAATTCCTGCAGCCTGGCAGCGCAAGAATTGGTTAGTTTAAGGCTTTAAGGGACAGGTTTCTGGAAACCATGTGTCAATGGATTGGTTTGAGGGAAAATCGGAACCGGAAACCATGGTTTTTTCATCAGCAAATATAGGGTTGTCCTGTAAAAAATCCCATCATCCAATTCTGTGAAGATGTTTTCTAACCACCACTAACCACCAAATAAGGTGAGGTTATGTGAGGTTTATGTTTGGTGGTTTATAAACCCATGAATACTATAGTTACCTTCCGGTGAACTGACATAGCTATTGAACTTTGTAGTTGATTTACCTATTCAACGTGGTTATTTTCCATTGTTATGTTAGTTTACCAGAGGGTATGTCCCACACAAACCATAGTGAACCAAGTGATGTGCGTCAACTTAGCGGCCTCAAACGGGGGCCTCATCTTGCAGGGTGCAGATTCCAGATTCTCTCTTCAACCAGTAAGACCACAGTCAAGCCCTGGCAGGTATGCAACGGTTCGAAAATGATGGATTGAAATACCAAAAATGGGGTGTAAAACCAGAACAAACCAATCATAAGTGGGATAGTAGGACATAATGGAAAGGTGGCACCAGAACTGATAAGGGCTTGTCAACCACCAACCATGGCTACTAACAGCGACTATTGACCATCTATTCTTGAGTGGGTCATCGAACCGGGGTGTTGGCTGAATCAAAACCAGCGGAGCTGCCAGTTGGCCCCGTTGAGTCATTAGTACAAGGGTGGGACCCCCAAAGGATAGCTAAGTTGGTGAACATAACTCCTAGGGCTTATGTCAATTAGAACTAATTATAGCTATAGTTAATGGACTTTGGAAACCAACTTATAACTAGGGGGCCACCTTGTAGAAATGATCATTGAAATGATTCGAACTGGGATGAAAGTGCTGAGAGGTGGATATTGTGACTTGCATGGGACTTAGCCCACAAGAATTTTGGAGTTCTGCCAACATATTTGCCAACCCTCTGACTGGTAGCTTTTGGTGGAACAAAAAATGTGTCCTGCACATGTTTGTGACCAATCGTTGCTGACCGTGTGAAGCACTTCTTTGGAGGCCAAGCTCTGCTTTAGGGTCTTCCAATCGTGTAGCAAGTCAATGAGAGTTGGACTGTACAACTTCCACACTCTATATTGTCTGGTTGGTGGCTTGGAACATGTTTTATGTTTCCATATATTGGGAATAATAATCCCAACTGACGAACTCCATCATTTTTCAGAGGGGTAGGTAGGTATACCACCAACCAGTTGTACTCGTATGTTGTTCCACATGAGTTGCTCCACATTTTGGCATCGCTTTCACAATCCACCTTTTTTAATCCCAACACCAAGCGCCAGCCTTGAGGCATGAATGCCTGTAGCGAAGCTTCGCAATGGCTGTCAGCCTTTCAGCTCTTTGCAGATCTGGAAATTCTGCAGCTACTGGGACAGGGAAAATCCAGGGCTAGGTCCTGAGAGTAGGTCATGTTCTGCATTGACCATCCCATGAAATGACAGGGGGATGCAGGTGAGGGCATGACCCCTTGATGATCCTTGAATCAAGGATACTTACTGTATGCATCTGTTTGCCGTGATTTTCTGGATAGTGTCCAGCTCTGAAGGGGTCAACATGGGAAATGGGATCATGGTGAGAAAGCATGGGGTGAAGCAGCCAAAGAAATGGAACATTTTTACCGAGCAAAAAATGGGAGATCGACCCATGGGAATATTCATATTCATCAGCAAATCTCAGGACTTGCAGGGAATGCCTTTTTTTTTGTTGGCCCATGGATACACCGAACTTCCGTTGAGATTTACCCACTGCCAGTGGCCCACGGTATAGGTTGCGACCGGATGTGATCACCTACAACTCACTGATGAGCAGCTGTGAACGTGCCGGCCTTTGGCAGACAGTGTCTCGGCTCCTGTGGGGTCACTGAACCCATTTACCAGCATTTGACTAGCAAACTGTTGGAGCGAACATATGTCCGCTTTCGACTGGTTGAAATCCCCTTTCTAATACCCATGACGGATCCATGGTGCTGCTATATATGCTAACATAAAGGGCGTATATTGATGGGATCCATGTTACCATATATAGCAGCACCATGGATCCGTAATGGGATATGAGTTACCCTCTGGTAAACAGCCACATAGCTATGGAAAATCACCATGCTGTTAATGGGAAAATCCACTATAAATGGTCATGTTCAATAGCTATGTAAACGTTTACCAGAGGGTAACGAACCCCAACTTGCCGGTTAAGTCCACATGTTTGACAGTTGTTGCTCCCGGTGAGAAAGTTTCTGCCTGCCTGCTGCCTGCGAGTGAACTCCCACATTAAACACGGTGGCCTCTAATGAAAATTCTGTTTAAGTGTTGTTTTATTACCGTAAAGCCAACCATTCACCGACTCATTTTGACATGTTTTGAACATTTTGAAGAGGCTAATAATGCTGGTCAACAAGTTTCCTGTAGGTCATTTGCTTATCCCTTTTATAATTGCATGGGTTATACAGATCGTAAGCCCCACAAAGATGATGAAGAGTAATTCGAGTAGTTCAATTATGTGCTCTGGACATAATTTCATATAATTTCCAGGTGTCCTAAACGAACCCTCGAGCATAACACCAGCCACTTGCACCGTATCCCGGCCCGTTGTTTTCGAGGCCTTGGAACTGATGTTGGAAATTCCACAGCAGCGGCTGACTTTCAGCTCCGTGACCCTTGGAGCTGCCGCTCGGCTGATGTGGGGATTGAAGGTTTCATGGTTGGGTTTTGAGATGTTTTAATGATTTTTAATGTACCCTCTCGTAAAAGTTTACATAACTATGGAAAATCACTATTTTTCATGGGAAAATTCACTATATCTATGGTGATTGTCCATAGTTATGTTAAATTACCAGAGGGTAACCTGGATTCGTTTTGATATTGTTGATTGGAACCTGGATTTAATGGATGTTAATGGATTATACCGTGGATGGAAGAAATCCTACACCAGCTGGTAACTATTGGTAACTATGAACCACTGTAAATGATGGTATTATTAGATGGGATTTTGCTCATCTACCAACTGGTGCAGGATTTCTTCCATTGACAGTATGTTTTAATGTAACCTGGATTTAATGGATTTCATTTTAAAACCTCAATATTCATTTTTGTTTTGGATGGAACCATTATAGATTCAACCAGACTTAGAAGATTTCATGGTTTCATGGTTGATTCCATGGAAGTCTGGTCTCATGAAATCTGGTTTAATCTAGTTTACGACAACCACCAAACAATTTCAATGGGTTTATTCAAAATGATTGAACCATAAAGCAAGATCTAATGGGTGAAGATTTCATGGACATTTAGTACTTTAATGAATGGTTTATTTTCAATATGTCATTGTTGTTGGGATTGATTTGATGAATTGTTCAATAGGGATTATCATTATCACCATTGATCAGGGATTGAGGGTAAGGTTATTATCAATTCTCAATTCATTCTTGATTGGTTGCTAGGGATGTAGTGGGTATCCTCTTGCTTGTTGTTTCATTTCGCTTGTGTTCGTGATTTTTATGTGTTTTTTGGGTACATCAAAAAAACGGGCCCTGTTTGTATCATTTCATTGTGTGAAAAGTGAAAGCCTGCATAGCCGTGGCTCTGTTTTTTTATTATCCACACATCATCGGATGGGTTAGGCTCGTATGGCTTCAAGCCCTGAAATGACCATGTTTAATTTAATAATTACCCTCTGGTTATTTAACATAGCCATGGAAAATGGCCCATTTATAGATGGTTTACCTATTAAAAATGGTGATTTTCCATGGCTATGTTAGTCATAACCAGATGGTAATAATTAGGTCATTCTTTGAGCGCCACAACGCCAAGTCAGGAGGGGTATATGTGGAGTTTTCTGGATGGATTGCAGCCTGAAACATGTCGTTGTTTCGGGTTTTTGGGCGTACAACCCACTAAAGCTATCCGACCATCCCATAGATTCCCGTGGAGGGAGCAATAAACGGAGCAAGTGACCCGGGCCACCCTAGGCCATCAGCGCCTGTGAAGAAGGCGCTCAATGGCCATTGGCACTGCATTTCTTGACATATTTCCCAAACCAATCCCTTCAGAGCACTGTGCAGCTTGGATTGCAGTATGGTTAAGGAGTAGCTGGTTGGAATATGTTGGAATTCCGAAAAATTAGATATGGGGGATTGAAGCAAGAATTACTTGTTGGCAGTTCCACATATTTTGTTTTTGTCTGATCTGTAATTGCTTGGAATAGTGATCGTAATGACTTCAGCGAGTAAACCGCTAGCAAGTGCCTTGTTTCCCCATACTTGGGGATGGTTTTCATCTTATCCGTCCGGGTTCACTGTCCAAGATGGTGATCGGACATGAGCTTCATACAAGTTTGTTGGACCATGGACAAAATCTGTGCTCCTGCCAAGATTATCTGCACCAATTGCCATGTTCCTTCTCAAAAAGGATCTCTTGCAATGCTCATTTGTTCTCATCATGGCCACCGCTTGGAAGTGCAGTTCCAGTGAACTAAGTGGATAAAAGTGGATATATACCCTCTGGTAATTTAACATAGCTATTGAACATGGCCATTTATAGTGGATTTTCCCATTAAAAATGGTGATTTTCCATAGTTACGTTAAATTACCAGAGGGTAACCATATTATAAGGTTTATATCACAAGTTCTAGGGCTTTGAGTTCCCATGGCTACGTAGTTTAAATTGCCATGGTTACACGAATCAAAGTCCATCAAAGTCCATCAACTGCGGGCAAAAAGTGACTAGCGAAGCCCTCCCCCATACTCAAAACTGCCCATATGGGTGGACATGGATTTACTAATTTGGGGAAGTTTGGATTATACCAAACTTCAGTGAAGAAATCTGATTTTTACAGGTATATCTAGTATATCTCCCCATGAATGCTGGATTCATCTCTGTACACACTGTACACATCAAAGCCCCAATTTGGTCATGCCCCATGATGTGCCATGATCATTACCCTCTGGTAAACGTTTACATAGCTATTGAACATGGCCATAGAAATAGTGGATTTTCCCATTAAACAATGGTGGATCTGTCCATAGTTATGTGGCTGTTTACCAGAGGGTATCATCCCGGATAACATATCATTAAAAGCCTCACGTTCCGTCGGTAGATCCCATTACAAATACCACTGGCAGGAGGTGGTGCTTCATAGCTAAGGTGGCCATAAGTTGACGATTGGAATTATAGTAAATATACTGTATAGTTAAGTTCTAAACCATTGTTTAAATCCAATAATTGTAGATATATCGCTATCTTAACTATTTGGATATGAACTAGGACAATGGGAGTATCTGCTAACTAGCTAAGTCAAGTTGTTTTTTTGTTGCAGGGTATCTAAGATTGGCCATGCTAAGTAGATAAATCCCATGGAACTATAAGCAACAAACATACGACGTTTGGCACCACTCAGGACTGCCCTTAGCTCAGCGATCAGCGCCTGTGAGAAGGGACCGCAGCAAAGGGATGGTAGCGTGGTAGCGTGGTGACCCGCTGGTGAATGATGATGATATGCATAGATTACACATACAGTAACTAATAACTGGAGATACAGTAACTAATAACTGCTTATGGTAATAAGTGAACTAATCGTTATGGTAATAAGATTCCTGGGATATTAATGGAATATACCCTCTGGTAATATAACAGTTTGCTATTGAACATGTCCATTTATAGTTGATTTACGTAGGGTTAGAACCTCCTTACTAAGTGGGATGCACCACCAAGTATGAGTCAAAACCCTGGCACCCAAACGGTACCCTAAGTCATAGCTGGTTTATGGATGGTCATTCCCCAAATATGGTAATAGTCGGTTTTGACCCATCCCCATATTTCGATAATGGAACATATGGAACAATCGGTTGATGATATGTGTAATCTTTTGTAATCCATGGATCATGGATATGTAAAAGGTGTGTATAGAATCATGGTGTGATATGTATGTGTTTTACATTACTATTCATGTTGTATCCTGATGAGTTTAGAAAAAAAAATCTCGCAATAGAGTTCCACGACCCTAATCGGGATACAACATCAGTGGTTGCACCAGATCCACCGCGTGCAGTGCAGTCCACATGCCGCGCATGTAACCGAACCAAAATTCATCGAAATCTATGTTTTTGTCTATGGCTATCTATCCATCGATCTGTCTATTTATTTATCTATCTATCTATCTATCTATATCTAACTACCTGTCTATCTTATCTGTCTATCTCATCTTACCTTATCTTATTGATCTTATTGATCTTATTGTCTCTTATCTTATAGATTATAGTAATTATCGTAACTTATCTTAGCTGGTCTTGTCTTATCTTAGCTCATTCTATCCTATCCTATCCTCTCCTTTCCTGTCTATCTAAATATTGTTGTTCCTAGTCGTCTGTCTTTCTATTTGCCTACAAGGTGGTTCCCCATAGTTAGCTAAGTTGGTTTTTGTATAAGTATATAATTGATAAAGGGCCATAACTGAGTTATGTTCACCAACTTTGCGTTCCGGATTGGTGGCACGCCAAACGCACGTGACCTGCGTGGCTCCAGGAACTCGCTGGGCCTGGGCACTTCAGTTGCTGCACGACGCGGATCACTTCCACGTGCGGCCCAACGTAGTGAGACTCGT